AGAAGAATTTGAAATCATAGAAAATTATTCATAAAAAAAATATAATAAAAAATTCAATAATTTATAGCAAAATAACAGACTTGGGCTCATAATAAAAATCACAAGACTTACCTATCGTCAATCCGAATCACCTTTCAAATTGAACTGTTGTTCACTGACAACGGTGCCAAAAATGCTTGCTCGTCAAAGATGCTTGTCTTTATCAAAATTTGTCTTTCTCTTAGAATGATTAAATTATTCCTCTAAAAATATGCTCGTACCTTTGAAGTGTGTGCAGTGTTGTACCTCAAAAAATCTAAGGTCATCTCCTCATAGGATGAATGGAATTTCAATGGAAATTTTTTGGAAAATAAAATGAAAAGTCTTAGATCTATGGAAAATTGTGAGAGTAGTAACTAAACTAATAAAAAAAATGAAAAACAATCAGCCAATCTTTGAAAATCTCATTGTAATCAAGCTTATTAATTCTCATTTATAACTCATCCAAGTTTATAATCAAATTTACTCGGATGGAAAATATTCAACTAAAATTATATTTGAAATATGTGTTGCTTTAAAGATAGGTAATAGAATCTCCAGTGATAAATACATAGATGTATAAATGATTTCCAAGTATTACTAGTTTCAAAAGAACTGTCGAAAAGAAATCAAGATGAACATTTAACTAGTTTTCAAAATTGATTCTAGAAGGATAAATACGTAGATGTACATATATACTCCAACCATTACTTGTGCCAGAAATCCTTCAACGATAAATCAAAGAGTATATATAAACACTAGTTTTCAAAAGTGATTGTTACAATCTAAAAACATATTACATGTTAAGAATACATTAGAGAATCAATAAGGCTCAATTACAAACAAGAATCATCCCTCGGCTTTGAATTTTGCATCCTTAACCGCTCAATAATTTTCTTAATATGTATTTTTTGAGATAAATATATCATAGTTGTTTTCCTATCTCTATGAATCCCCATACCAAAATTTTATTTGTAGCACCCAAATATTTCCTCTCAAATTCTAAGCTCAACTATTTCTTCAACCTTTTAATCTCTAACATGGTCTTAGTAGTAATAAGCAAGTCATCCACATAAAACAACAAATATATACAAAAATCATCTAACAACTATCTATGATACACACAACTATCATAATTACTTCTAGAGTTACCATGAAGTGTAAAAACGCTTGTACCGTTGCTATGGAGACTATTTCAAACCATATAATGACTTCTTAAACTAGCAAACATGATTTTTATTTTTGTTTATATTTAACAATAAATCCCTCTGGTTGATGCATGTAGATAATTTTTTCAAGCTCACCATGTAGAAAAGTTATTTTTACATCAAATTGCTCAAACTTTAGACCGATTGAAGCAACCATGGAAAGAAATACATAAAGAGTTATGTTTCACAATACATGAGAAAACTTCACTGAAATCNATCAAATTGCTCAAACTTTAGACCGATTGAAGCAACCATGGAAAGAAATACATAAAGTTATGTTTCACAATACATGAGAAAACTTCACTGAAATTCACACCTTCTCTCTGACTGTAGCCATTTATAACAAATCGCACCTTATTCCTTTTAGATTCAACTCCTAGAATTCTTTTCTTTTTCTTAAAAACCCATTTGCAACCAACAGTCTTGCCCTTATGCAACTTCACTAATTTCCAAGTCTGATTCTTATAAAGAGATTTAATTTCTTTGGTCATAGCAATGACCTAATGTGCAGACTCATCGTCTGTGATAAATTTTGAATATGTGGAATGCTTCTAAACAAAAATTTCCTTTGCTATAATAAGTGCATACACCAAGTCTACATACCCTTATTTTTTAGAGGGGTCTCCCTTCCCTCATCTTCCTATCTTTTTGCAATACTATACTGTTGTTACTCTTGTGGATCATCACCAAAACTAGAATCATGTAAAACTGTAATAAAATCATGTAGAACTAGAATCATGTGAAGCTTCCACTTACAGCTCCAACTCATTACTATAACCATGTTTTTTTCCTGTAGAAACAAAAAACTCATTTCTCGAAAGAAACATGATAGATTCATCAAATACAACATCCCTACTGACTATAAATTTAGGATCAAAATATCACAATCTATATTCTTTCACATCATTAGCATAACCACTAAATATGTATTTTTTAGCCCTAGGCTCAAGTTTACAGTCATTCACCTAACAATAAAATGTGCAATCATATATTTTTAAATCTGAATAATCAGAAAGAGTACCAAATCATACCTCATGTGGACTTTATAACTCAATAGTAGTGGATAGAGAACGATTGACCAAATAGCAAACAGTGCTAACAGTCTCAACCCAAAAATCCTTAAACAACTCTGCATTAGAAATTATGCAATGTGTTTTCTCCAAAAGAGTTTTATTCATCCTCTCTGCAACCCCATTTTTCTGGGGAGTACTATACAATACGGTGCTTGACAATGCATTCATCTCTATAGAACTCATTAAACTCACCTCTACAAATTTTAAGACCATTATATGTTCTGAGATGCTTGACTTTTTTGACTGTCTGTATCTCAATCAAAATCTTCAATTACTTGAAAGTCACAAAAACATCACTCTTGCATTTCAAAAAAACAAGGAACTTGAGAAGGACCTCAAAGGTTTGAATAAATTTAATCAACTATATCTTTAGTCATGTGAATAGCCATAATCAATTATGACTCTGTATTGTTTCCCGAAAACACTGCTCACAAAAATCAAGCTTCCTAATTGTCTATTGGTCAACTAAACCCTATTTGCACAAGATTGTCATGCCCCTCTAACTTATGTGGCCCAAACGCATATGTCATAACTGAGTAGTATCTAAATTTGAAAATTTTGAAGATGACACTAGTTGAACCAATCACAATATCAACCTGAAGAACAAAGAGGTCATTAATCTTTTTACCTTTCATCACAACTAGGGAACCCTTGCAAACTTTTAAAACTCTACCTTTAGCAAAAAATCTACAACCAATAGAATCTAAAATACCCAAAGAAATCAATTTTTTCTTTAATTCTAGAATATGTCAAATATCTGTCAAATTTCTCACAATTCCATCATGCGTCATAATCTCAAAAGTACCTATTCCAACAATCTTGCAAGCAACATTATTTTTCATTAAGATTGAACCACCATTGATTGGCTCATAGGTGATAAACCAATCATTATTAGGGCATGTATGATAGGAACAACCTAAATAAAAAATTCATTCACCATTAAAATGTTTATTAAAAACAATTATTATAAGAACATTATCTAAAATATTAGAGATATTTTTTGCAATATTAGCAGCATTATAAAACTCGAAAGAATTTTATTTTTTTGGTCCCCCTTTATTTTTCAACTTAAAACAATCACGATTGTAATGGCCAATTTTATGACAATAGAAATATTCAACATTATTGTGTTTCTTCTTAGATTTTGATGGATTTTCCTTTTTCTTTATCTGAATTTCAACAAACTAACTTTTATTATTATTAGAGGAATTATCATGATAACCCCTCCACAAAAAAGACTATCAATGTAAACATCACTATCTTTACCATTCTATTTATTACGCAACTCTTTAGAATTCAAAGAGGATTTCACATAAACTAAGGAAATCGAGTCTATCTCATACAACATTGAATTAACAAAATTATCAAACAAATCAATGAATGAGCATAACATAATAAGGGCTTGATCTTCATCCCCAATTTTAGTATCAATATTTTTCAAGTCCATAATAATTTTGTTAAATTAATCAAGATGTTCATTAATGAGTGTATCTTCCTTCATATTGAGTGTTTGCAACCGTTGCTTCAAATACAAGTGATTCGCGAGAGACTTCTTCATATACAAACTCTCCAACTTTTTTAAGAGCCTTCAATTTTGTCTTCATCGATGACTTCACGAAGAACCTCGTCAGCAAGAGACAATTTAATTGTACTATGTGTCTTTTCGAAAATATCAACAACTTTAATCTAATCTACCTCCTTCGATAGAGATCCATCAATGGGCTTTATCAAACCTTGTTGATAAAATAATGTCTTCATTTTAATCTGCCATAAATTAAAATTCTTCTAACCATCAAAATTTTTTCATCTCTAATTTTTTTATAGTCATCTTGAAACCAATAGCTCTAATACCAGTTTGGTATGAACAAAGACCACAAACAAATAAAACATATCGAAATATAAAAATAAAACATACAAAATTTACGTGGTTCGGCTTACCAAGCAATCCTACGTCTACAAGCGAAACACAGCTACAAGGTTTTGCTATCAAAGGTTGGAGATTACAAAACGTTCTCATAAACAAAGGCAATAGAACGTGTCATTAGTCTATCACTATTGCAATATTCATAGTGCCCAAAAATTCCTTAAGTGTACATAGTTTTTGTGAAGAAGACCCAACAAAATAAAGCAAACCCAAATCTCCAAAGATGAAAAAACTCCTTGTCGTTCGATGTCAATGACTAGCTAGTGGAGAGGACTGAAGAAAAATCCATGCTTATGGACAAAGGCAACTCATATATTACATGAAGTCTTGGCAAAGAAAAAATGTCTTGATCCAAAGTCTTTTACATGATGGACTTGATAACTTGTCCCAATTGATGTGAAATCCAAACAATAAAAAAGAGTCTAAGTCTTGCTCACACAAAATGATAAGTTGTAAAAGAACTTCTCCAAACAAAATTCAAATAGACTTAGAATACAATGTATACAAAATATTATTAAATTGATATTGAAGACAATTATAATATTATGAAAGTAAAAAGAAAATACAAAATAGACATAATAGGAAAGTAACCCGATTCTTCATACTTTGATTGAATTAAATAGAATTTGTTATAGATTTATTTTTTCAATGATTAAACATCAAAACTATTTTGATCATTATTGCAGTTGCTACTCTATATACTATCCAGTCTAGCTGGCAGAACACGCCACCCTCCTGGAAGGGGTCTGATCCTTGTAGCAATTGGGACGGCATTGTATGTACCAATTCACACGTTACCTCTATGTAAGTCAGTGGGGCTTCAACCTTCTAAAGTATATAGAGTTGCTTAGTCTTGTTTTAACTTGCCAACTCTTTTCACAGAAATTTATCAGGCATGCGTGTGTCGAGCAACCAGGTTGACGACATTGCATCATTCACCAATTTACTAATTTTGTAAGTTTCATGTCTCTACTTCTACTTTTTCCTTGTACATGTGATTTGATTCTACTTTTTTAATTATCAAAGATGTTCTTAAACTGTAGTTCTCATATATAATCTGACATTTCATAAAACAACATTATTCATGCTAGATTACATTGCTCAAACACCCTTAAGGTTCACAGGTCAAGTTGTTGAGCAATCATACAAGCATAAGTAATGGTCATATACTCTTCATATATCTGATACAAGCACCATGTAGACTATCTTTGGGAACTTGCATCACTGGATTTGATGCAATTTTTTTTTTTGACTCTATTTTCATAATTGATGCATCAAGATTGTGATTGGGTGTGCAAAGAATTTTTATTCTCCTTTGTGACTTAAGATTACAAAAACCTTTGTATGAACAAACAATTAGTGTGGACATGTCACTTTAGTTGCTACATATTAGTCATTTGTTGTCACATATAAAAGTCCAATGTTACAAGAGATGTATTGAAGTACTACTACCCTTTTTTTGTAAATTGTTTGGAAACATTTATTTAAGATTAGAAAAGGTTTAGCCACGAATCTCCTAGTGGAGAACAATATTCTTTGTATCAATTCTGCTAAAAATTAGCTCATTTGTTGAAAAAATTATATTGCCGCCATCTATAATATAAAACAGGACAGACTTCAATAAGCTCATCTGACAGTCTCAAATAGACTCATCCAACGGTCACTNTTAGCCACGAATCTCCTAGTGGAGAACAATATTCTTTGTATCAATTCTGCTAAAAATTAGCTCATTTGTTGAAAAAATTATATTGCCGCCATCTATAATATAAAACATGACAGACTTCAATAAGCTCATCTGAAAGTCTCAAATAGACTCATCCAACGGTCACTAACATTGTTCTCAAAACCATTCATATTTAATTTTTTTCTCCTCTGAAATTGTCACTTCTCATTTTCGTTGCACCATACCTTCAGGCACAAGTTAACCCTACTTAATTGCTATAATAGAGCCTACAACATATTTAATTAAGTTTTTGTAGCCTGTTGACTTTGAGAATATCACTGTTGCATTGTTATTCCACTATTATTTATAAATTTTTCTTTTTGATGAACCCCCAAACTGTAATGCCATATGAAGATCTCATATTACAGACCCACTCAGTCGAGTGTAACAAAATTGATAAGCTTTCTTGTGTGTTCCTTATTTCACCAAATGACAAGCCTAAAATTTCTTTCTTCATATTCAAGCCTAATATCTCATCCTTACACTTCTTTCATATGTTTTTTTCCCTTTCTTGTATTGTGGGGTGATCGCAAAAATGCTGAGCAAATTAGGAAAAAAAAAAAACCAAGACCAAAAAGTATTCGCTTTAAGAAGGATGTAGGGTAAAANGGGTTCCTCACCTATGGACAGGGTGGTATGACTCTCCTCAAGGGACAACTATGTAACGGGGGCGGACGAGCATAATTGTCGACCTCAGCCTTAAGTAGGGTCTCAAAGGTTTAGTCCACTCAAGTAGGTCTCCTAGTTCATAGCCCACTGCCCACTAAAATGTGCTTGATTGGGATTTTGAGGAACTTCTAAAGTAACTGGGGTCATTGGTCTAGATCAATATATGGGAATATGAGACATATGGATTGATAACTGATGGACCAAAACAATGTGGGTTTTCTCTATTAGGCAACTTAAATGCCTCGAGGAAAGGTTCAGAGAGGAAAGGGAGGACCCTAAGAAGAAGAGTACTAGGAGTATCACAGACATGGTCTTCCTGCGGTGACCAGTCACGGTTGTTGACCTTGGGAGCTCTCTTTTGCCTCGATTGTCGCACCCCTCCTCGGAGACTGCATTCAGGCCATTCTTGAGGAAATATCACATCCGCCTAATTAATTTGGGACATGTGGCTCACGGTGAGCAGTCACCGGCATTGCCATGGTCAAGGCAGTAGTANTAGAAGGACAAATAGAAGAGGGTCATCAGTTGACATGACATTAGAGTCTAATAGAATTGGTACGGATAATAGCGTTGCACCAGCATTCCAGCACCGCGACAACACCTATTGCTGCAGAAGGGTGGGGAATATAATCATCGTATTAGAAGTGGAAAACTGGACCCTTGACTAAGAACGAACAAGGGTGGAACCCTGGAAGTCTTGGGGGCAACCTTGACATGACTCGCCTCCCCCACTGCAGAAATAAGGTACAAAGATCGGATTGCACTGCTAACGGAATTGACATCCTCAACCTATGGGACAATGTTGCTCAACTGGCCCAGTGGGCTAAGATGAGGGTTCCTCACCTATGGACAGGGTGGTATGACTCTCCTCAAGGGACAACTATGTAATGGGGGCGGACGAGCATAATTGTCGACCTCAGCCTTAAGTAGGGTCTCAAAGGTTTAGTCCACTCAAGTAGGTCTCTTAGTTCATAGCCCACTGCCCACTAAAATGTGCTTGACTGGGATTTTGAGGAACTTCTAAAGTAACTGGGGTCATTGGTCTAGATCAATATATGGGAATATGAGACATATCAATTGATAACTGGTGGACCAAAACACTGTGGGTTTTCTCTATTAGGCAACTTAAATGCCTCGAGGAAAGGTTCAGAGAGGAAAGGGAGGACCCTAAGAAGAAGAGTACTAGGAGTATCACAGACATGGTCTTCCTGCGGTGACCAGTCACGGTTGTTGACCTTGGGAGCTCTCTTTTGCCTCGATTGTCGCACCCCTCCTCGGAGACTGCATTCAGGCCATTCTTGAGGAAATATCACATCCGCCTAATTAATTTGGGACATGTGGCTCACGGTGAGCAGTCACCGGCATTGCCATGGTCAAGGCAGTAGTACATTGGCGTAGGTGTCAGAGGGTTGTGATGAGTAGATATTGTACTATAAATACCTGCATTACTTATCCACTGCAAGACATTCATTAATTACTATTTGGTATAAGATACATACTCTAGTTGTTGAGAGCATTTACCCTCACTACTTACTCTTTACCTAACTGGTTGGTCGCTTCATTAATAAGTCGTTTGAGTTCTTTTCATCTAGTCCACTCATTTTACTCATCTCTTTAAATACACTTGGCACAAACACGTGTGTTGTGTGTCAGCATCTTTTAACTCCCCGTCAACACTTCTCTTACTATATTGATGAGGAACCTATTACTGAACACAACAATATGATTCTTTACAGAACCTAATGAAGGGAGATGAATTATGTAGTCGACCCTAAAATTATTGGGAGAACGCTTAGTCTTGCTTGCCATATTACTTTCTCAGCCCTTGAAACTTCCAGGAGAACACATCCCACCAAAAAAAAAAAAACTAAAATTCAAATCTGTGGTTTATATGTTACTTTAATTCAATGGACATCTCTTTACTTCACCTGTAGACATTGTTTTGTATTCTACATTATTGCTGATAAATTTCGCAAGAACCAGTTATTTTCTGATCAGTAGCTTCTGCAAGCAGGGATCTTTCAAATAACATAGGTCTGANTTTACTTTACCTGTAGACATTGTTTTGTATTCTACATTATTGCTGATAAATTTCGCAAGAACCAGTTATTTTCTGATCAGTAGCTTCTGCAAGCAGGGATCTTTCAAATAACAGAGGTCTGAAAGGAACTCTTCCACCATCTATTGGGAATTTAAAGAATCTGACGATCCTGTAAGCAAAATTCTATTCCCTACTGCTTTGAGTGTCAGCTACCAACTAGTGTGCTTCAGTTTTTAAATTTGACTAATTTCTTTTCCTTTCACGTAGAAAGCTGGCTGCTTGCAGTTTCTTTGGTCCAATTCCAGACTCAATAGGATCTCTGCAACAGCTAGTATTTCTGTAAGGATTTCATTCCAGAGTACTTTGCTTGATTTGCTCAAGGTTTGATGATCATCCATTTCCTTACACAAGCCCAGGAATTTTGGCATTATAGTTTGAAAGCAGTTCAAGTTATCTTTATATTGTCATGGAACTATATATATAATGGGCCCTTTTACACCATTTCCAATGAAAACCGAAACACTTAACCAAATTTGAGTAATAAAAAGTATGTGTGTGTGTGTGTGTTTGGGGAGGGGGGTGGTTAAAAAGCTTGTTTTGCTATTAACCTCTTCAATGGAGAAACTCAAACTTAAAGGAGGAGACAAAAATCCAAATTTAAATGAGGGTAAAATATGACTATTGGATTTTTAAAGGAAGGTGAATTTAAATGAAGAGTTTTAGTTGAAGCTGCAGTCATCTTATGTTCTGTATCTTGTGAATTGCCGTNAAGGTGAATTTAAATGAAGAGTTTTAGTTGAAGCTGCAGTCATCTTATGTTCTGTATCTTGTGAATTGCCGTTCTACGCAGAGCTCTGAATTCTAACAGCTTCAGTGGACCAATTCCAGCTTCTATTGGTAATCTATTGAATCTTACATGGCTGGATGTAAGTGAGAATCAGCTTACTGGAACCATTCCAGTGTCCAAGGGAACTACACCTGGTTTGGATATGCTAGTTAAAGCAAAACACTTGTATGTTCTACTTCTGAAGTTTTCAAAATGTTTAGTTTCTTCTTTCTTGTAATTTTTTTTTCCTATTTGTCGATGTGAACATCTACCAATTATGTACAGTCATTTCCAAAATAATCAGCTTTCGGGCACCATCCAACGGCAACTTTTCAGCTCAAACATGAACTTGATACATTTGTGAGTATATTGGAATGGATATTTAGTATCTCTGCTTTATTACCTTTAAGTAAATATGTAATTCAGATACGTTTTGTGCGCATTCACTTTGTTCACATATAAGTAAGAAGGTAGATGGTTTCACAATAGGCCTCCATTTTCTCCGTGTTTATTTTTTGCAGCCTTTTTAACAACAATCAACTGAGGGGGAACATCCCTCCTACTCTAGGACTTGTACAAACATTGGTGACGGTGTGAGTATCTCCATCCTTGCTTGCGCTGAACTTTTATAATTTAGTTTGCGCTGAATTTTGTCTTGGCTACAGCCGCCTAGATTGTAATTCATTAAGTGGGCCCGTCCCTCCGAACCTCAACAACCTTACAAGTGTCAAGCAGCTGTAAGCAGACAGATGATTTCTCGAACTTCAAGCTTTTAGATTATCATGCATTAGATTCTCCGAGTAATAAAAATGGGACTTGGCTATCCACTTTCAGGTACTTGTCCAACAATGAACTCACAGGACCTCTTCCAGACCTTACCGGCATGAACTCCCTTACCTACATGTAAGCTGGGGTTACTTTCTTGAATCTTTCATATTATTAATGGTGTAGGTGAAGCAATGCTGCTTAATTTGAAGCTATCTTTTCAAAGATGATTTTCAACTTTTCTCCTGTCATATTCGCATACTTTTTTCGTTTGTGTTTTTTCTTTGTCAAATTCTTATGGCATACTCTGTAATAATGTGATCCATTGGAAATTCTGACCAACACCTATTTGCTTTGTAGGGATATGAGCAATAATAGTTTTGATGTATCAGAAATTCCCCCGTGGTTTACCGAAATACAGTCTTTGACGACATTGTACCCATCTCTCTCTCTCTCTCTCTATCTNTGACCCTAGGATCCCTGCCTTTGAGGACAATCCTTCTTCATGTGACCCGGTTGGTGGAAATGATAGCAAGTCCTCTGGCCAGCCTGGCAGGAAGGCGTCTGATTTCTCCCACCTTGGGAGGATTGACTTTGGCCTTGACCTTGGCCTTGATAACTACGGCCCTGTCCCTGAAANCACACACAGCAGAAACATGCATTCATGAAAAGGTTTCTTTAAACATTCATTCATGAAAAAGTTCTCTACACATTGCTGTCTTAAGAATAGTTAAACTATGATTTTTGTATTGTTGTCATACCCAATGAACAATCCTTCCCGCCTTTGGCGGGATTAGGAGAGGTAAGTGGAAAAACTTCACTGGAGATGTCTGTCTACCCAAAACATGGACTTTTTTCTGTCTTTCAAATTGAAATCGTACACAAAAGACAATGCCCTGAACTTCTTCCAAAAGGAGGACTCTCTTTCATCAGNTCATACCCAATGAACAATCCTTCCCGCCTTTGGCGGGATTAGGAGAGGTAAGTGGAAAAACTTCACTGGAGATGTCTGTCTACCCAAAACATGGACTTTTTTCTGTCTTTCGAATTGAAATCGTACACAAAAGACAATGCCCTGAACTTCTTCCAAAAGGAGGACTCTCTTTCATCACTTTCCTGCCATCTTTGTACCCTCTCTCTCTATCTCTCTCAATGTGTTTTTGTTATGTGTGTGTGCGTGTATCTAGTTGTCAACCTAATGGGTATACAAGATAGCCAGGAGCACCTTTAAGGGTTGGAAGCCCCAACAGCTCTTCAATAACAACAAAAGAAAGTGAATTGTCTTGTTAATTTACGAGTTTTTTGATGCTGTACGTAAAATAATAATTCTTTACCTCATATTGACAGAGTGATGGAAAATACACAACTTGAAGCACACATTCCAGTCAATCTTTTCAGCCTCCCTCAATTGGAGACGGTGTGAGTATAAGCTTAATCTCCAATAACACCATGAACACCAGATTTAATGTGGGCGATGTTCAGTAACAAAATTTAATGAACATATGTTTTGCTTCATTTTCAACATAGAAGAATCCAAATAAGGTTTTTTCAATGAGAAATGAGGGTGATGGGGCAATTTATTGGAAATATGTTGGCAGGGTACTAAGCAACAACAAGCTTAATGGGACACTGGATATTGGCAACAGTTATAGCAACAATTTGACCGTTGATTTGCAGAACAACTCCATTAGCGACTTTACACAGAAAGCAAGTTACAATATGGTCTTGAAGTAAGGCAATTTATTTTTTTGTTGATTCACCATTAATTCCATTTTGGGATAGCGCATGCTCTGTGCTTAATGTTATTAGCATGTTATCCCCTTTTAGAGTTCTTATTCCATTGTTTCATGCAGGCTTGTGGGTAACCCAATTTGTCAGGGAAATGGAGCAACCGAACGATACTGCACAATTCAGAAATCCAACCCTTCATACATCACACCAACAAATAGCTGCACTGCCGTGGTCTGCCGTTCAGACAGAATATTAAGTCCAAATTGCAAATGTGCATATCCGTACACAGGAACCCTACACTTCTTTTCTTTTTCCTTTTCAAATTTAGAAAACTCAAGTTACTTCAGAACACTTGCGGAGTCTCTGATGTCAGCTTTTCAGTCCAATCAACTTCTTGTGGATTCAGTTTCTCTTAGTGATCCAACCGTTGATGTATACTCTTACCTTCAGTTCAGACTGCAAATCTTTCCTTCTGCTCTGGATCATTTCAATAGAACAGGAATTTCTACAGTTGGTTTTCTGCTCACCAACTCTTTCCCGATTCCAAATTATGGGAGTTACTCCTTTAAAGAAGAGAGCTATTGTTGCTTTGCAGGTAAACTTGTATCTCATATTAACTAGTAGAAGCATTTTGGATGTTTGGTGCAACGAGACACATCATTTTCTATCCATACATAGGAGTACATCCTCTTAGAGTATCCAACTCAAAACTAATTGGTAATGAGTGGAGTAATCCTTCAAGTATATACTCCAACCTTGCCGGTCATAATTATTTAATGTAGGGTACAAGATCTCTTAAACACCCTCCCTCATGTAGGACCCGGACTTGTATGTGGAGTCAACAAATAAACAAACAACTATTCATACTGTGAAATTCAAATGGGTAAGAGACTTCATCCACTAGCCACCCAAAACTCAACTCTAATATATCATGTTAGAGCATCCAACTAAAAACCAATAGGCAATGAGTAGAGTAGCCTTCAAGTACATGAACAAACCTTTGCAGTTTTAATTATTACAACCTCTGTTAACACATCTATCGACCTATTTTTGCATTTACAGGAGCAAAAAAACCATCTAATACAGGAATTAACGTTGGAGCAGTAGTTGGTAGTTTTGTGCTTGTGCTTTTCATACTCGGTGCAGGATTTTATGCTTTCCATCAAAAGAGAGAAGCAAAACGAGCAGTTCAACAGAGCAACCCTTTTGGTAAGATCAATATTTGTGGTAAAACAAAGCTCTTTTTAGCTAAATTATATGAGTTGCTCTAAAAACCATTTTCGTACAACTGTAGCAAATTGGGACCGTGATGAAAGCAGTGGTGGTGTTCCACAACTTAAAGGAGCTAGATGGTTTTCATTTGAAGAGCTTCGGAAATGTACTAACAATTTTGCAGAAGTGAACGCTGTTGGATCTGGGGGCTATGGGAAGGTTAGATATTTTTAGTTTCCTTTCTCTTTTTCAATTTTTTTTCAATCTCCATGTGATACTTCAGCTAGTACTTTACCACCAGTTCTAGTTAAAAACTGCGATTTCAGACCCTAAACCTGTCCTAAGACTCTCACACCATTGATTAATCCACACGCCATCATTTACTAGACAAGAAGACAGTACATATGTTAGATCCGGATGAATTGGTCTTATTTGGCAATTATCGAAATATCCGGAACTATTTAACTTCCTATGTGGACAAGCCAGTTATCAGAGAATGGAATAGTGAAGTACAAGCAAAATAAGTTCTCAAAAGTATGTAATTGCATTATTATCTAAAGTACAATACAACATTTTTCCCATTCACTTTATTATTTTAAAAACTTCATGTGACAGACATGCGCTCTTTTTTCTTTTCTGATAACAAAATGTGTTTGCTTCGTCCCCTGGATAAAGATTATTTTGACCTTCCTTCTTACATGACAAAATTTTGATGATTAACATGGGATTCTCGGCATTTTTCCGCTCTCGATATTAGTTGAGCTCCAGAAATTTCTAAATTCTAAATTTATAGTTTGTTGACAGGTTTATAGAGGAACTATTGCCTCTGACCAATTAGTTGCCATCAAAAGAGCTCGACAGGGATCATTGCCGGATGCTCTTCAGTTTAAGACTGAGATTGAGCTTCTATCAAGGATCCATCATAAGAATGTTGTCAGCCTGGTGGGTTTCTGTTATGAGCAAGGGGAACAAATGCTGGTCTATGAGTATATTCCAAATGGTACCCTGAAAGATGCTCTTTCAGGTAATTTCACTAATTTCTTGTAGTCCTTCGAATATTTGAAATAGTATCATCTGCCACCTTCAACACATAATATTGACAATGAAGCAATCAGGTAATCAGATAGGAGCTATAAAAATGAGACTTTGCCTAATACGACAATGTGTCAAACTCAACCAAGGAGATTAAAACCATCACTTCATCTCATAACAAGACTGGATTGCTTCTCCTGCCCTACCCCTTTTACACCTGAATCTCATTGATTAACGTTACCTAACCACGGGCCTCCATCTAATTAAGTACGACTAATAAAAGTATATTAATGGTGCCATGCCGAATTACATAATGGCTAGTGGGCAGGGGGACCTGTCTCGAAACCCCTATTCTGTGTCGCCCTTAAGCCAATGGACTACTCAATTGAGTTATACCATAGAGTTGTACAGCCCAACCGTAGACGAGCAATCACTCGTTAACAGAAATTTTCTCTCTTTTTTATCCTCAAGCACAATGAACTATGCAAGAAACAATATGGAGAATTATAATTGAGAAGACACAAATGAAAATTACTTCTCTTTGATAATCTGAACATGATCTATACAGGGAAGTCAGGATTCCAATTGAACTGGATGAGGAGACTTAGAATAGCCCTTGATTCAGCCAAAGGTCTGGCCTATATGCATGAGCTTGCCAACCCTCCCATCATACACAGGGACATTAAGTCAACCAACATCCTACTAGATGATTGTCTAAATGCAAAAGTTGCCGATTTTGGCTTATCCAAACTTATGGAAGATACCAGTAAGAATTATGTCAGCACTCAAGTCAAAGGGACAATGGTAAGTATGAAATCCTTAAAACCTTTACTTTAGCATGGATACCACTACATTGCTATGTAGCCATTTTTGGATGTCTTTTTTTCCTGAGGGGGGAGATGGAAAATAGTATAGCTTTGCCCTCCAAAGCTTTTTGGATAGTTACGAGTTTCGGATTGTTTCTGGAATTGTTGAGATAGAAGATTATTATAACCTCATTTTGCTGGCTAATCAAGGCACTGACCTATGAAATGACTCCAGAGTTGTCCCACTATTTTTTGTAAGCAACTGAATATTACTGAATTTTTCAATTTTCATTGTGCATCACTTCAGTTACTGGATAAGCATTGATAACCGGGTAGCTTATTGGAATAATTTCTAGTACTTCTCAAGCAGGATGCCAAGTGTTTATTAAAAACATACATCTGAGGATTATATTCGCTGTAATTATGATTTCTTACACTTGCTTGAAAAGTTGCCCACTGTTTAAATAAAATATCTCCCTTGATAGTTGCCCTAATTTAAATGTCTCCCGGATTTACAAAGCATGCAAAAAAAAAAATCTAGGAAAGTTTGGACATTTCTAGTGGAAGGTGGTAGAGGATATGGTCCATACTTCTAGTGCTTGCCCCAGGCCACATACTGCACACACATTTTATAGGACTTTAAGTAGCTATTTAGCTTTTCTCAAATTTATCTATGCTGTGTATGATTGGGTATTTTGGTTATTTTATTGGTGCTTCAATTTTGCTTTAGGTTGACACATGGAAAATCGATTCCTTTGTCACTGTAGGGATACATGGATCCTGAATATTACACTACCCAACAACTGTCTGAAAAGAGTGATGTTTATAGCTTTGGAATTGTATTGCTGGAGCTGGTAACTGCAAGGGCACCAATAGAGCGAGGGAAGTACATTGTGGTAGTGGTTAAGAATGCAATTGCTAATTTAACGGATCAATATTACATTCATGACATTCTTGATCCAACCCTCGGTCCAAGTGCAAAACTTGGAGGCTTGAAAAAGTTTGTGGAGTTGGCAATGAGATGTGTCAAAGACTCTTCATCTGAGAGGCCTACAATGGGTGAGGTGGTGAGAGAAATTGAGAACATCATGCAGTTAGCTAGTTCGAACAAGAATTTTGAAACAGAGTTCACTTCATCGAGTTATGAGGGGAGTTCAGACGGGAGTAAGGCCTTTGATTACAGTGGAGGATTATAAAGTTCGGATTCAAATTCTATCCCATCTTTGGATAGGTTTCATTTGGTTTGTGCACTTCATTTATATGTTAAGATAAAAGATATTAAAATGACTACTGCACCCTTGTATAAATAAATGTAATCTAATCCTATACCAATTAGAATGAAAAAAGTCCAATCCAATAATATTGTCTTATTTAGGGAAAAAAAATATGATTCAATAAATTATGCATTTTTACAACATATTGCAAAAAGTATGTTTATAATTTATTTAATTTAATTTGTGCAATACACAATCAATCTGAGTCTGATTCAATCAGAACTTTATACACAAGTAAGCCATATCTTTCAACCAAATGCAAACCATCTAACATAGCCCTAAACTCTGCACCCATATTAGAACATGTCCCATAGAAAAAAGAAGCAGCTAGGATCACTCATCCCCATTCATTTTGAACAACTACACCCCCACCAGTTATACCAGGGTTGCCCTTCCCAACCCCATCCACATTCAGCTTCAAAACACAACATCCTGGCCTCACCCAACTCACCCGCAGAGCCTTAGTTCTAAGAACATAAGACAAAGAAATACCTAGCAATTGAAGAAAAGCACTTCCCCTATTCACATCCATCATTTAGGCCTCACATTCTTTACCTTAAACCTCAAAACACTAAATATTTTGAGAAAAACGGAGTAAGAATTGATAAATCCTTCCCCAGCTCTCCTCCTACACCTCTCTTTCCAAATCAACCAGTAAATTAACAAAGCAAAGCTTCTTCCAACCCACTAGCTGGGCACTAGGGGCAGTCACCATACCCCAGATTGCCTTTGCAACAACATTCCTTTCCCCATGATGTCTCACCAATTTCCAAGCTGTTTTTACAGAAAATGAACCAGAATTGGAACACTGTCAAATCAACTTGTCATCAGAAACAGAGAGAAGTATCCCAGCATTTTTAATTTCCTTTGTTAAATGTTTTCCCAACAATTGTTCACAAGGTCCCAACTGCCAAACTGAATTCACAAGCAACTCACTGACCTTAGGAAAAACCTAAGGCAACTCCTCTATTCTAAATAGCAAAGGCCTATCTCCCAATCATAAATCGCACCAAAAATCAGTTTGGTCAACTTTACCCAGCATCATTGTGGAATGTAATATTTACTGTCTCAAAGAATTGCCTCAAAACCTCCAAACACTTTGAATGAAAAAAAAAAATGCAATCTGGGGTTTAAGTAAAACCCCAATTTTCATCTTCTTGATAGCAAGACTTTTTTGAGACAGAAACCCTAACCACCAAATCCGTGCAGTCATACCTTGCCTCATCAATGCATACACCACATCCATGGCCATCATGGTCTTGCGACCAGCGTGCTCAATGTAGGTCACACCATCACGAATCACATTCTCGACGAAGATTGCCAACTTTGTTATGCCCTGGATGTTATCGTGAAGCACCTTCCAGGACTGCTTCACTCCTCCCTTTCCCAGCCCATTGCCTCCCTTTCCACGTCCAGACAATAGCGATTGATGCTTCAAAATGTGAGAGAGAGAAAGAGAGAGAGAGAGACAGAGAGAGAGGAGAGGAGAAGAAAGGAGTGGGCAGTTAGGGGCGGTGAGCTGAGGAAGAGATGAAAAATGCTTGGCTTGAGTACTATTTTTAAGGTCATAATGATAAAATCATTAGTTATCCTGTCATTTGGAAATCTGCCCAAATGAATCCCATATGCTCCGTGGGTTTAATGAATCCGACTCAGAAGGGATACAAGGCTTCAATCACTACGGGCCGAGTAATTGGGTAACAATGTTTATCCTATCTAAAATTGTGGATCCAAACCTGGGTTATGTGGGCCCCAAACAATTTAAATCCAATCCATATGAGTTATCCACCTTTATCCCTCAAACCAAACACCACCATAGTTTTTCTTTGACCTCAAATGATTTTTTTGGTTGAAATTTAATGGAGAGCTACAAGTGAATCTGTTTATAACATCCTTGTCAGTCTTGCCCCAATTTATATGGTATTTTCCTGTATTCATTCAACCTCTTTGAGTCATCGTATACACGAGTAATTATTCAATGTGACAGTGATAATACGTTATCATCGTCACGTGGTATCATCAACTGATTATGAGTAAATAAGTACGACAATTGAATTACAATAATCCTACATGATAGTTATTGAATACAAAAGTAGTTGATAATTAGAATTTTTTGGGATCTACTAGTTCTACATGTTTATTTATAATTGATTGATAACACCACGTGACGCTAACGAGCTATTGCCAATATTTTCCCTATTTGGACATCTTTCTAACATTGATACATGAATATGCATCCGGATCATATAAATTTCGGCTTAAATTTTGTGAATTTGGGCACAAATGAATCATTCAAATCAATCATGTGAACACCAATATTTTACTAAACGTGACCTCGTGGGTGGGTGATTCATTCCAATTTTTTGATTGCCTTTCGGCCCAAATTAATCATGGGAATATCAAGACTGGACTAGGTTGATGCGGTCAAATTTTACGGTCAATTTTGACTTCTTTTTTTTTTGTGGGTTATAGGGTATTCAAATTTGCGTCGACTACTCCCTTGAACTCGTATTTAACTCAAAAGATCCGACCCAATTTAAACCACCATGCTATCAATCACACAAACATTAAACCTAGACTAAGTATGATAATCGAATCATATTGTATTGAATTTGAGTCACATTAAGTAGTAATCAATCATAGTCCACTTCATTTATCTAATCGTATTAGTGTTTTAATATTAATTTGATTTTTTATCAAATGTGCTATATTTGGGTTGATTCTTTTCTTTGTCCATCAAACCCAGATCTCTTATAAAATCAAACTTCATCTTTAAGCTTTTAAACACAAAAATTACTCATGTTACAAGAAGTCAAGAATTCATACACTACCTAATGAAAAAAATCAAAAAAATTCTTTAAATAATACTTAGTAAAGGGGTTTATAATGTCAAATCGAATTATTTATATTTGTAACTAACTTAAATCCAATTTATTATTCATTTTATAAGATCGTGTTATTTTTAAACTTCTATTAGTAAATAATCAATCATAATTTACTAATTTCGTGCCAAACATTGCAACCATTAACCAAGACCAAACTCCACGCGAACTCTTGAGGAGGATGATATGTTGAAAATGTAAGTGGAGAGGACCAAATAGTTTAGTGGATTGGAATGAAAGAGTGTTTGGTTAATTAAGTGAAACTTCGGGACCTTGCCTCCATCGTTGACCTAAGCCCTTACCTTTTTGCAATAAAATATCCAATGTGTGCCATCAATTCCGACGCGTCCTTCTTCGCGAGAAGGTTAATATGAAATATTTATTTGTTCAAAAGTTTATTAATAGTGTAGTGTAATAAGTCTTATCCCACGTAGACTAGAAAATCAAAAACTTGATGAGTTAATATATTCTTAATTGTCTTCTGGAATTGGATCCTAAAAAAGTATCAAAATTTTATAAACAAAACAAACACTTATACAGACTTAGATATTATATGTGTCGTGTGGCCAGGCTTGGCTTAGATCAACNAAAACAAACACTTATACAGACTTAGATATTATATGTGTCGTGTGGCCAGGCTTGGCTTAGATCAACAAGATCTTATCTTTTTGTTGAAAGTTTATTATCAACTTTCAACACCAAGAGAAAGTAAATCTATTTTAAAAAAACTATAGCTTCACAGAGCCCTCGAATTCTTACTAATTTTGTTATTATTGTTTTTTTATATTTTTATAAGTACATCATTTTTGTTTTGTTTTGTTTTGTTTATACATCCTGTTTTATTTAATTGTTTTACATGTAACAGTACATATAGTAATTGAGATTTATTCCATTAGTTTTTTCTAATTCCGATTCTATATCCGATTACATCATGCAGCAAAGCAAGTCACAGTCATCTGCTTATGCGGAGCCTAAGATGCGAGCAACATCAATTTTAAGGCTGACCCCCTAGCTTACTACAACACCATACCCTGTTTGTTTTTTTATTGTTTAATTATTGTATGAAACACATGGTTTTTCTTATTTTCTTATTCTTTTACTTAATAATTTTCATAATTGATAGTTGCAAACAATCAAACTTAAAATCTACGATTAAAATTTTTTTTGGTTTGATCATTGTTGAAAGTAGTGAATGATAGCTCAAAAAACAATGAACACAGGGCAGAGCGAAGAATAACACAACAAAACTAAGGGGAGCTTAATGACGCCTAGACATCAACATTTACTATTGTCAGAATTGAATATGTCACAATATTGATATATGGAGAATTTTCAATACTATTGAGTAAAATTAAGTGTGAGTATAATAAAAATAGTCTCAATCTCTTTATTCGCTACTTTCTTAGTAATTCATTNAAAGATCAACCATGAAACTGCTTTAATTAAGTAGCAACAGCCAACTATTGAACCAACACAACCATCAATCAATTAAAGGATTTAACACCACCAGAGAAAATCCAATACAATCATCAAATAGTATAATGCATACAACTCCAGAGAGAGATTCATTCCAAGTTAGTAAGATTAAAAAAATAAAAGAAAAGAAGAAAACTAAGAAGCAAGGATGTCGTTGGACATATCCAGAAGGGTAAACAAATTACCTCATCAAGTAAATATCAAATTCACATTTAAATTTATCAAAAATCCATTCAATAACTATCAATTTCAGTAAGATTTCATCAAATTAACCTAATTCCTAAATCCTCAAAATCCAATAAATTAACAACAAAGCACACACATGGTGCTGTAGGCATGGGGGGTTCGGGGGATGGGTTGCAAGCAGAGAAAGAGAGAGACCAAGTGTCTTGGCTGAGTTTGAGGCTTCGAATGGCTAAGAGAGAGAGAGATTTGAGTTAGGGCAAAAATGGGAGGCAATTTGAAATCATTCGTTGATTTAGGGCTAAAATTGGGGCAAATTAAAATTCATCGATCTGGAATGGAGAGAGAGAAGAGAAGACTTACATTGATTTGGAATGCATCGTCTGCCTTGCCTGATGTCGCTAGAGCTCAAAGAGAGAGAGAGCAGAAGAGAACTATATGAGGTAGAGTCGAATTGCCTTGCCTGATGTCGCTGGAGATTTTGGAGTTGCCTGAGGTAGACTCGAATGAGTGTTCGAGTGAATTTGAACAAAGAGAGAATTTCACAGATTTGGACATGTGTGAGAGAGAGAGAGATGATAGAGAAGGATGTCGTTGGAGAAAGTGAACAGATCTGAACGTGAGAGAGAGGAGAGAGTTCTGGAGAGGAGGAGTTTGCCAAAGAGAAAGAGAGAGTTATGGAGTGGAGAGTTTTATTTGGTCAGGAGTTCTGGAGAGTTGAGAACACGTGAGTGTGTGATGAAGAGATTGGGCGGGAATCTCAAAATATTTAGGTTAATATCAACTCTTAGATCAGATTTAGACAAATTTAGAAATGATTTGAACCGTGAAAAGTAAAAATTATTTTATCTTTTGAAATTTGAATTGTAAGCAACTTTATTATATAGATTTGTGTGGTATAATTTATATTATAACATTGTTATTGTTGTGGATGTTTGTATTGTTAAAACATGGACTTTTTTTGTGTCAGTTACTTGATTTGAGGTAAACTAGTGATCTATTAAAGCAGTTATGATTTTAATGTATTTTATATGGTTTAAACTTAAAATAATTATTATTGTATTTGTGTAACAATTATGATGAATTGATGTTCNCGGTATGTCCATTTGGTGAATAATGTGGGCAACTCATGCAAATGGTATTATATGTTTATTGAATTTAGTTTGAAAAAGTTTGATTTAAAAAGGTTTATTTGCATATTTGATACATTTTTATTTCTATAATTATTTGTCACAATAAGCCCACAAGAGGACACAGTCTTGAAAAAACTAAGACAGGCCAATTAGATTAGAGTCATTAGACCTAATTAATCATTTTTTGTTGAAAATAATGAAAGATCAACCATGAAACTGCTTTAATTAAGTAACAACAGCCAACTATTGAACCAACACTACCATCAATCAATTAAAGGATTTAACACCACCAAAGAAAATCCAATACAATCACCAAATAGTATAATGTATACAACTCCAGAGAGAAATTCATTCGAAGTTAGTAAGCTTAAAAAAATAAAAGAAAAGAAGAAAACGAAGAATCAAGGATGACGCTGGACATATCGAGAAAGGTAAAAAAATTACCTCATCAAGTAAATATCAAATTTACATTTAAATTTATCAAAATACCATTCAATATCAATCAATTTTAGTAAGATTTCATCAAATTAACCTAATTTCAAAATCCTCAAAACCCAATAAATTAACAACANAATAACTATCAATTTCAGTAAGATTTCATCAAATTAACCTAATTCCTAAATCCTCAAAATCCAATAAATTAACAACAAAGCACACACATGGTGCTGTAGGCATGGGGGGTTCGGGGGATGGGTTGCAAGCAGAGAAAGAGAGAGACCAAGTGTCTTGGCTGAGTTTGAGGCTTCGAATGGCTAAGAGAGAGAGAGATTTGAGTTAGGGCAAAAATGGGAGGCAATTTGAAATCATTCGTTGATTTAGGGCTAAAATTGGGGCAAATTAAAATTCATCGATCTGGAATGGAGAGAGAGAAGAGAAGACTTACATTGATTTGGAATGCATCGTCTGCCTTGCCTGATGTCGCTAGAGCTCAAAGAGAGAGAGAGCAGAAGAGAACTATATGAGGTAGAGTCGAATTGCCTTGCCTGATGTCGCTGGAGATTTTGGAGTTGCCTGAGGTAGACTCGAATGAGTGTTCGAGTGAATTTGAACAAAGAGAGAATTTCACAGATTTGGACATGTGTGAGAGAGAGAGAGATGATAGAGAAGGATGTCGTTGGAGAAAGTGAACAGATCTGAACGTGAGAGAGAGGAGAGAGTTCTGGAGAGGAGGAGTTTGCCAAAGAGAAAGAGAGAGTTATGGAGTGGAGAGTTTTATTTGGTCAGGAGTTCTGGAGAGTTGAGAACACGTGAGTGTGTGATGAAGAGATTGGGCGGGAATCTCAAAATATTTAGGTTAATATCAACTCTTAGATCAGATTTAGACAAATTTAGAAATGATTTGAACCGTGAAAAGTAAAAATTATTTTATCTTTTGAAATTTGAATTGTAAGCAACTTTATTATATAGATTTGTGTGGTATAATTTATATTATAACATTGTTATTGTTGTGGATGTTTGTATTGTTAAAACATGGACTTTTTTTGTGTCAGTTACTTGATTTGAGGTAAACTAGTGATCTATTAAAGCAGTTATGATTTTAATGTATTTTATATGGTTTAAACTTAAAATAATTATTATTGTATTTGTGTAACAATTATGATGAATTGATGTTCGTGCTTTCTTGTGTTTTATTATAATTGTTGTTGTAGTTGTTTTAGGTTTTAATGTTATTGATTTGTTGTGTTGTTAAATTGGTGCATGTTATTTAATTAAATTGTTAAAATGATCCAAAAATTAATAGCTACAAAAGTGTTTACCCGACTTCCTATCAAATTAATCGAGTAGGAATACCACACCTGATCAGATAGAGTAGGCTAAAAACAAATTCTTTCGTAAAGTATCAAGTAGAAATACGAAAGACTATATTTTCTACCCGTAGGGTAAGGTGAACACCTCTAATGTCTCGATATGAAATGCTATGTATTTTGTATTTTGAAAGATGTAAAAATTCTCATTTTATATTTTTAAAGATTAAATTTTTCATATTATACCCTTGATGGAGTAAGAGTGTTACAATATAGTGCCTCTGTTTACTTATGTTGCTCATTCCGTCAAGTCAATGGTGTTGTTTTTGACAGAATAAGTAATAAAAGTTAATGAAATGGTCACATTACAATACTTTTAATCCATTAAAAGTGCAAGGTAAAAAATTTTAATCTTAAAGTGTATAAAGTAAAAAAAATTAAATATTTTTAGGTACCAATTGTGATTTCCCCCATCCTATTATACTGAAAGTTTAGGTTACGGGACCGAGGAAAAAGTAGGTATTAACAAAATAACTCTTGATGATATAAACATCCTTTAATCCATGTTTGTAATGCGATAGAGACAGAATCAAGATTTTATTATAAGGGAGGCTAGACAAAAATTTTATTCTATAGGATCATTGAACAAGTTGTCAAAGTAGGCATTAACAAAATAACTCTTGATGATACAAACACCCTTTAATCCGTGTTTGTAATGCGATAGAGATAGAATCAGGATTTTATTGTAAGGGAGGCTACACAAAAAATTTATTTTATAGGATCATTGAACAAGTTGTCATTATTTCAAGTATTTGCTTTTATAGAATTTATAACATCAATTTTTATATGATATGAATTGTAAAATTAGTTTGGGTTATAAAATTTAAAAATTGATTCTTACTTAGCATTCATGCATGTAATTAATATCCCTATTTTGTTATTAAATATCAAGCCATTATTGTTTTTGGATACACCTATTCAATTACCGTACATATATAAATTTTTTTAAAATTTGAAAGAATGTTTAAGATTTTGAAAAATCTAAAGGGGATATAGAGTACTTTTAAGAAGTTGAGAGGCAACATAGCCTACTTCGCGCCAATGTAGTTCTATCAATGACAAATGTAGTATCTAATGTGGCTATAATAATTAAAAAGCTTAGTTAAACTAAAGCTCATGACCCAAATGATGTAGAACGTTCACATCCAACAAGGGAAGTAACCGAGAGTAGTTCGAGTGATAATAGGAACGAGTTGTAAATCTAGAAGTCTTAACTGAGTAGAAATGTTGGCAACCCTTTGGAGGCTAAGTTATTTCTCATGAATATTCTAATCTCGGTATGAATGTCTTGTTTTTTATCGAACTAAAGAGAAGATTAATTGAGGTACATATAAGTTGATTTAGATACCCCTTACCCTTGAACTAAAAAAAAAAATAACAAGGGGAGGCCAAGAACATCTAACTAGTGTGCTGGTGTCGCACATAATTTGGACCACTAATTTTGTAAGTGTTAGTGTTCTGGATAACTAAAAGGTGTGTCAATATAATTTCAGTAACTATAAGGACAGCCCACGCATTTAGGGCAATCTATCAGGGTTGTCTCTGTAATTTAATATTTTATGAAATAAAACCCAATTCGTGTTGCCTAGTGGTTGGCGCCATTACATATGTGTTTAACTGTTTCTCAGAGGCATGTAGTAACCTGACAATGAATTAGAGTTATAAAAAAAGAGAGAGAGAAGACAATGAATAGGGTTTCCTCCAAAGATCATCCAAAGAAAAACCCAAATTGACTTTTCACACTCATCTCCAGGTAATGCCTTTTTATTTCTAGAAGAACAATGTCAATGTCAATGTTTTTTTTTTTTTTAATAGTATATTCAATATAAAACGCCCAGACACTCAAGTTCAGGAGACTCGGCAATATGTTGAAATTGGCATGACAGAGAAAGTTTCATCGCAATATTTTTATATATTTGTGCTGAGAAATCAAGGGTGTGGGTTGGAAACTTACTATACAGTTGAAGACAAAGTCGTATGATACTCAATCTCTATGTAGAAGTCAATGGTAATACATGGTTTCATAAAAAACTTGCTTCTGAGAATTGGGTTAATTGGAATTGGAATTGAACAGAGGGTGGTGTCGTTTTGGAGTTTTTTGTTGGGTCTTTAGTCGATTCAGCAATATTTTTTTGTTGTTTGGGAAATGGGTTCAAGAATCCAGGTCTGGTTACTCATTGTTTTAACTCAAATATTGGTTATAGCAGCACAGACAAACAGCAATGATCGTAAGTTTATCTGATTATTATGTATAGTTTTTGTTCGTATTCTATGACTATATGAATCTGAAATATTTTTCATGTGTTGATATGATCAGATACTTGTTTTTTGTTTTCATTTAGTAGCCAATGAATGGTTTCCTTACACGTATTCAGCAAAAATTCTTCTATTTGGTAATACATGTCCTGCAAATGTTAATTACCTAATCTATTCTTTGGAAAACATATTTATTAGCTTAGGCATGTCTCTCGGGTTGAATAGTTTACATAAGTTTTTCTTGATTGGTTGGATCGTGATTTACTACCGCGTTACAAAAGTGGTGGCAAAGGCTCTGGCTTTTCTTTGATTGTCCCATTTGCGGTGTCTGAGTTTTTAATTTTGATTGCTTTCTTTTCTTCTATATAGGCTGCAAGTGTGGAAAGGCTTGATCTGAAACGATTTGAAGTGTTTACACATAGTCTCCGATTAATTTTCCTCACAGTTGCCTTCAAAATATTTTGTAGTTTTAGTTCATTAACTGCATAATAGATTACTTCTTTTTTGGATGATAATGGGATTTTTTTAATAAGTGTAGTAGTCAGCTGAAATACCCCTGGGTATTTGGAATGGCCCTTAAGATATGGTTTTTTGTCAATTCTTGTTACATTAGCTTTTTATCCACATCGTCTTTTAGATATGCAAATCATGCAATTTATATTCTACTTTGTATGTGAGTAAAGTCATTAATTTAGGCACTAAACTAGGCTGAAAACAATGTACCGACCATGATCCAGTGAACTGGGATGAAAACCGCTAAACCAATACCAAATTACGCCAAAAATCGCTGAAGCGACACTAAACCTGACAACAGCTGGCAAATAGAGACGACAGTAACTTGATGTATGCAGGGCCGGTCCTACACTTAGGCAACTAACACTCTCCTAGGGCTTCACTTACCTAAGTATCTTGCTCCAATACCTTGAATTGTTTTATATTAGGTTTTAGAAAAGAAAGAAAGCGGAAGAAGAAGAGAGGAAGAAAGAGATTATGAAACAATATAATAGGAAAGTAAACAGAAAATACAAAATAGAGATAATAGGAAAATAAAATAATTGGAAAGTAACACTCTAACTTAGAGATCTAGGCTTTAACACCTTTGGCATAAGCAATTACAGTTGAATGTATTTGATTATACATTGATTGTTTTTGTAGCTTAAGTTATTTGGAAGTACTTAAAACTCGGAAATTCTTCGTTAACTATAGGAAAAAAGTGAGCTTTATATTGGCAGCCAGAGTATCCCAATTTTTACTGTGTGGAACCTTAATCAAAAAGCAAGAACTAAACTGCTTCTCTGCCTTCTCACTTCCTCGCAGTTCTTCGCACTTAGATTGAATTAAATAGTATCTGTTGGAGAATATTTTTTTTTTTTGGGGTTAATGATTAAACATCAAAACTATTTTGATCATTATTGGCAGTTGCTGCTTTACTTGCTATCAAGTCTAGCTGGCAGAACTTGCCACCTTCCTGGAAGGGGTCAGATCCTTGTGGCAGCAGTTGGGATGGTATTGCATGTACCAATTCACGTGTTACCTCCATGTAAGTCATTGGTGTTTCAACCTTCTAAAGCTCATAGCGTTGCTTATTCTGCCTCTTATTCTTGTTTTAACCAGCCAACTCTCATCGCAGAAAATTAGCAGGCATGCTTGTGTCAGGCAGCCAGTTTGGCGACATTGCATCATTCACCAATTTACAGTTTTTGTATGTTCCATGTCTCTACTTTTACTCTTTCCTTGTACATGTGATTTGTGTCTAGTTTTTCAGGCATCTTTACTTATCAGAGATCTTCTTAAACTGCAGTTCTCATATATAATTGGCTTTTCAGAAATCAACATTATTCATACTAGACTACATTGCTCAAACACTCGCAAGGTTCACCGGTCAAGTTGTTGAGCACTCATAGGGGCATAAATAGTGGTCAGAGATTCTTCAAATCTCTGATACAAGCACCATGTAGACNGGCTACATTGCTCAAACACTCGCAAGGTTCACCGGTCAAGTTGTTGAGCACTCATAAGGGCATAAATAGTGGTCAGAGATTCTTCAAATCTCTGATACAAGCACCATGTAGACTATCTTTGGGAACTTGTATCATTGGATTGTGATGCAAATTTTTTGTTTATTTTTTACTCTGTTTTCATAATTGATGCATCAAGATTGTGATTGGGTGTGCAGAGAATTTTTATTCTCCTTTGTGACTTAAGATTACAAAACCACTTGGATGAACAAACTATCAATGTGGACATGCCACTTTAGTTGCTACATATTTGCCATGTGCTATCATATATAAATGTCTAGTGTTACAAGAGATCTATGAAGTACGGATACTTCATTGAGGTTGGCGTACCTGTATCGGATACGATACTCGTCGAATACTCGAAAATATGTATTGGATATACCTTCTATGTATCTGATAATAATTAAATATTATGATACTTTTGTGGTCGAGTAACATATATAATTTTTGAGTTGAATTTTTAACCTCTCTTTTCGAATTCACATACCATACAATACATTAACAAAAATTCATATTACTGCAAAGGCACACGAGTGTTTTTTAAGGATTATCTACAATTACATGTCAAAAGAGTATAAAATAAAGCTATTACATTATAATCTTAGCAAAAATTACTTCTAAATACTAGGTAAATATTATATTTGATTCTTTTAATTAGTCACTTTACTTTGTGAATATACCATAGTAATACGATATATATTTTCTTTAAATTAAAAAAAATTACTAATTTTTCTTATTGTGTGTTAAAGAACTATCAAAATATATAAGTATTAAGTTAGTTGAAAATAATAAAAATATTAAATATATTTTATTATAGCCGTATCTTGGTCGTACTCGTATCCTAATTTTTTAGACTTTGTCATATTATCGTATCCGTATTGTATCGTACCAGTATCTTTATCTGTGCTTCATAGCAAGAGATGTATTGAAGCACTACTCAACGTTATCTGGATCGTGCGTCACTTTGGTACATAGTACGAGTACGGGTACATAGTACGGCACTTTCTTAGGTACGAGGTACGATGAGGGTAGATTTAGTTGGTACGGTATTTTGGATTACAATTTATTTTGAAACTCTTATGTAAACCGTTTTCATAACTATACAACATTATATATTATAGAACATTAATAAACACTAAGTTACATCTCATTTATCTTATAGTTTTGTTTAATTTTCTATTATCTAAAATAGCATATAATTATAAATCTACATACATATAGTCAATTAATATATATTTGATATTTGTGCTACATGTTCTAAAGCGAATTGATTTAGTATTAATATTGCAATTTGGGGTCGTTCATTTTGGTGATTTGGATCGCGAATCCACCTCGTTTGGGATCGATACATTTAGATCGTGGGTCGTTAAGAGTTTAGTGATTTAGGTAACCATGGTACTACTTCCCTTTTTCTGCAAATTGTTTGGGAAAACTAACAGACTCATTTTTTATGGTCTAAAGAGTATAATATTTTGTTCCAGATCCTATGAAAGCTTGTTTGGTCCAAAGTTTCCAGGGAGAAACCACTTATTTTGTGAGGCAAAACTCCTAAAGGGTCAATGTTACGATAAGGGATGCACTGTTAAACTAATAAGTGACTACAAGCTACTAGCGTACAGTGTGATTTCTTTACTTTGTGACTCTAATGTCCGGACACAATGATTTTGTGTTTTTTGTAACAGAATATCTGATAGATACATGCATATATACGTAGATGTGTGTATAAAAATAAAACTATCAAGAGAATAGCCATATATGTTTATTTTGGGGAGAAGCTTTAGAATCAAAAGAATTCAAAACAAGTAGAAATCAAATAGAATATATGAAAACGTAGTCGTAGTAAAAGTAGAAATTCAAATAAGCAGATAGCAAAATAGAATATCAATATATATTAAAGAGTGAACATTTTAGGTGTTTGGGTTCCACTGTCCACTAAGAAGAAGAAATTGGAGATGATGCTAGTCCTAGAATTAAAGTATGATGGACAAAGTGGATGAATGCAGAGGGTGTATTATGTGACATGTAGGTCTCATGAACTGAAAGATAAATTCTACAAGACACCACCGTGCCCCAAGTCCCGCACCCTTGGGGAGTTGATGCGCGAACTAAATTACCATTAATTTCCTCTAAATATAGTGCATTGAAAACTTCAATAACTTGATTTTCCCTACATATTACAACAGTCCAAACCATAAATATTGAAAAATTGTAGAAAGTAATTACCAATCAACAATTCTCAAAATTCTTCAGCTACTCTATTGCCCTACTGGGCTTTACACCAAAATCAACCCGTACTAGAGAGGTTAAATTGGGGGCCGAGCTTGGGATCCTGGTAAACAGATTGAATGAACAACTAACCATGAATCACGAAAGTATCATACTCAGTTCATCTTGGCAACATTCCAAACCCCATTCGCTGCATTCCACCATCATACACACCCCACAAAGCCATAATTACATCTCACTAAACAAACCATACCTGAGTGCACATACTATGTACCAACAAGTCCCTACGTAATTCCCCAACCAAAAATATTTTCAGCATACCCTATTTAATGGACATCAAACAAAATTTCAGAACGATGACGATATAAGAATCAAAGTCGAATTCAGGATCGTGACAATGAAACAACCTCATTGCAAAGAGATTTAAAGACAGATGGATATTGTGAAGTAACCCACTTAATGAAACCAAAATTGACACTAATGGATGTATAGATCCCAGGTCTGAGACAATACTAAGAAACAGTATATCCATGATTGTCCTAGCCGAGAACAATCCTCTTCATATCAATTCTGCTAAGAATTAGCTCATTGTTGCAAAAAATTAGGTTGCCACCATTAATCACTATAGTAGAGCCTACAACATATTTAATTAAGTTTTTGTAGTCTGTTGACTTTGAGAATGTCACTGCTGCATTGCTATTCCACTACTATTTGTAAATCTTGTCATTTTGATGCTAAGCTTCCCATCTTCACATGAAATTACATTTTGCCCCCAAACTACAATGACATATGAAGATCTCATATTACAGACCCACTCAATCAAGTAACAAAATTGATAACCTTTATTGTTTCTTCCTTATTTTACCAAATGATAAGTCTTAAATATCTTCCTTCGTATTCAAGCCTAATATCTCGCCCTTACTCTATTTTCATATGTTTATGTCATTTTGATGCTAAGCTTCCCATCTTCACATGAAATTAAACTAAAAAATTATTTTTTTTTTAACTGTTCGCTTCGCTTCTCGCCTAGGCATTAGGAGCCTTGGTCGCTTCGGTTTGCTTTACGCCTTAAAGAACACTAGAGAGAACTATGATGAACATATTGGTGATAGAGTTGAAGTAGTGTCTGGAGAAGATATTAAGAGAGAATTGACTTAGATGTTTTGAGCATGTTTATAGAAGCCCTCTTACTATACCGGTGAGGAGCCTATCAATGATAACGTGAAGGGTAGCAGACTGAAATGTACATTAAACGAGATCGTAAAAAAGGATGTGATAGTTTGTAGCTGAACAGGAAAAATATGACTCTTTATAGAGCATAATGGAGGGACATGATTTATGTAGCTGACCCTAAAATTATTGGGACAAGGCTTAGTCTTGCTTACCATATTGCTTTCTCTGCCCCTGAAAATTCTCCTGCTCCATTTTTCTTCTCCCACTCCCTGGTTCCAGGAGAACACAGCCCACACAAAAAAACTAAAATGCAATTCTGTTTATGTCTTACTTTAATTCAACGGACATCTCTTTACTTTACCTGTAGACATTGTTTTGTATTCTACATTATTGCTGATAAATTTCGCAAGAACCAGTTATTTTCTGATCAGTAGCTTCTGCAAGCAGGGATCTTTCAAATAACATAGGTCTGAAAGGAACTCTTCCACCATCAATTGGGAATTTAAAGAATCTGACGACCCTGTAAACAAAATCCTATTCGTGCTTTGAGTGTCAGCTACCCAACTAGTATGCTTCAATTTTTACATTTGACGAATTTGTTTTCCTTTCCCGTAGAATGCTGGTTGGTTGCAGTTTCTTTGGTCCAATTCCAGACTCAATAGGATCTCTGCAGCAGCTAGTATTTCTGTAAGGATTTCATTCTAGCATACTTCGTTTGATTTTCTGAAGGTTTGATGAACCCATTTACTTACAGAAGTCCAGGAATTTTGGCATTGTATTTTGAATACAGTTCAAGTTATCTTTGTATTGCCATGGAACTATGTATAATGGGCCCTTTTAGTGCCTCTTTGGGCTTCTAATTGAACTCTTTATAATTCAACCATTCTGAAGCTTTTATGTGCCTGTCTTTTGAAGAGTTTTAGTAGAAGCTGCAGTCATCTTATTTTCTGTATCTTGTGAATTGCTGTTCTATGCAGTGCTCTGAATTCAAACAACTTCAGTGGACCAATTCCACCTTCTATTGGTAATCTGTTGAATCTTTCATGGCTAGATGTAAGTGACAATCAGCTTAATGGAACCATTCCAGTATCCAGTGGACCTACTCCTGGTTTGGATATGCTAATTAATACAAAACACTTGTATGTTCTACCTCTTTAAAATTTCAACCTTTAAGTTTTCAAAATATTCAGTCTCTTATTTCTTGTAATTTATTTTGTATTTGTCAATGTGAACATCTACCAATTATGTACAGTCATTTGGCAAAGAATCAGCTTTCAGGCACCATCCAACCTCAACTTTTCAGCTCAAACATGAACTTGATACATGTGTGAGTATATTGGAATGGATATTTAATATATCTATTTTATTACCTTAAGTAAATAGGTAACTCAGATATGTTTTGTGGCTATTCACATTGTTCACCTATAAGTAAGGAGGTAAATGGTTTCACAATAGGAAATTGAACCTGTATTTTGGAAATATGCTTCTCTAGCATAGTCTTAAGGGTAAGATCACTCTCAATTGCTATTTCAAATAAGCTTGACAACATAGTTAGCTAGGAATTAATATATTTCAATATTCTCAATGAAAGAATAAGTATTTTTTATAATGATATTCTTATGCATTGGGGATTGGGGAATACCCGACCTAAATAATTTAGAGAAAGAAACGTAGGAGTGGAGTCCAGACTCTGGAGTTCATAAGTTCCTTGAAAACAGCCAATTTATATTGTGACTCCTAATGGCCTCCATTTTCTGTGTGTGTGTGTTTTTGCAGCATTTTTGACAACAATCAGCTCACGGGGAACATCCCTGTTACTCTAGGACTTGTACAGACATTGGAGATAGTGTGAGTATCTCCGTCCTTGCTTGCCCTGAACTTTTAAAATTTAGTTTGCGCTGAATTTTGTCTTGGCTACAGCCGGCTAGATTGGAATTCATTAAATGGGTCCGTCCCTTCGAACCTTAACAACCTGACAAGTATCATTGAGCTGTAAGCAGACAGAGAACTTAAAGCTTTTATTTTTGTGTCTTGGATGTAAGGATTATCATGCATTAGATTCTTCAAGTAATAAAAATGGGACTTGGCTATCCACTTTCAGGTACTTGTCCAACAATGAACTCACAGGACCTCGTCCAAACCTTACCGGCATGAACTTCCTTACCTACGTGTAAGCTGGGATTACTTTCTTGAATCTTTCATACTATAAATGGTGCAGATTAAGCAATGCTGCTCAATCTGTAATTATATTCTCAAAGATGATTTTCAACTTTTCTCCTGTCATATTTGCATACTTTTTTCTTCTGTGTTTTTTCTTTGTCAAATTCTTATGGCAATTATACTCTGTAATAATGTGATCCATTGGAGATTCTGACCAAAACCCATTTGCTTTGTAGGGAAATGAGCAATAATAATTTTGATGCATCAGAAATTCCCCTGTGGTTTACTGAAATACAGTCTTTGACGACATTGTACCCATCTCTCTCTCTCTCTCTCTCTCTCTCTCTCTCTCACACACACACACACATGCACATGCATGAGGGCGCATATACACACAGGAACCCAGCTACTTGAAGGTCTGCCATTTGAACCTTTTTCCTTTCTGTTTTCTATAAGGGCCTATTCTGTTAAATCAGAATCTGTTGTGTTTTGTCTGGAAAGTTTGTGCATATATCTTTGCCTACTCCATATGGCTCCTTGAACTGGAAGCATTTCATCCTTTCTTGTCTTGGGTTTGCATTCGAGCTACCTCTAATTTCTGGTGCATTAATTAATGTCTACATCAATTCTAACATACACTTTTCTCTCTTTGATGAAAATTGTGGATATTTTTCTTTCTTTAAACATGCATTCATGAAAAAGTTCTCTACACATTACAGTCTTATGAGAAGTTAAACATTCATTTTTGTGTTGTCATACCCAATGAACAATCATTCCCTCCTATGGCGGGATTAGGAGAGGTAAGTAGAAAAACTTCACTGGAGACGTCTTATTTTGATAACACTCCAAAATGACCCTTAGCCAAATCCGTCGGCAAAGTCCCGCTGAATTGCCCTAATTCGTGGATGATTAAAACAATAATATGAAATTATGGCACGCAGGTATTTCAAACATTTTGTCAGTCTTTTTCATTAATAACCTCATTTTTAATACTTATTTGTCGTCATAGCCATTTTGATGGTATTGGTTAATAGTAAGAGGACCTCATTTTGTGTATGCATTCGTGTTCATTAGCTTTTGACTCAGATTTTTGTTCTGTCAACCCAAAACATGGATTTTCCGTCTTTCAATTTGGAACTGGATATATAAAAGAAAGTGACCTGAACTTCTTCCAAGGGAGAACTCTCTCTCAATCTGCTTCTGACTCAGACTTTTGTTGTCTGTTTACCCAAAACATGGACTTTTTTCTGTCTTTCAAATTGGAACTGGGTTCACAAAAGACAATGCCCATAACTTATTCCAAAAGAAGGACCCTCTTTCGATCGCCCTCCTTCCATCTCTCTACCCTCTCTCTCTCTCTCAATATGTTTTTGTTGTGTGTGTGTGTTTCTAGTTGTCAACCTAATGGGTATGCAAGATAGCCAGGAGCACCTTTAAGGTTTGGAACCCCAACAGCTCTTCAATAACAATAAAAGAAAGTGGATTTTCTTGTCAATTTACAAGGAGTTTTTTTATGCTGTACATAAATAATAATTCTTTACTTCATATTGACAGATTGATGGAAAATACACAGCTTGAAGGAGACATTCCAGTCAATCTTTTCAGCCTCCCTCAATTGGAGACAGTGTGAGTATAAGCTTAATCTCCAATAAAACTAAGTAAGAAAGAAAAAAAAATTCATGAACACCAGATTTAATATGGGCGATGTTCAGTAACAAAATTTAACGAACATATGTTTTGCTTCATTTTCAACATAGAAGAATCCAAATAAGATTTCTTAAATGAGAAATGAGGGTGATGGGACGATTTATTTGAAATATGTTGGCAGGGTAATAAGCAACAACAAGCTTATTGGGACACTGGATATTGGCAACAGTTATAGCAACAATTTGACGGTTGATTTGCAGAACAACTCCATTACTGACTTTACGCAAAAAGCAAGTTACAATATGGATTTGATGTAAGGCAATTTATTTTTTGGTTGATTCATTTGTTGAATAAGTTTGTTTGGGTATTAATTTAATTTTACCTCCATTACAGTTTTGAGGACTCATTAATTCTATTTTGGAATAGCGCATGCTCTGTGCTTTATGTTATTAGCATGTTATCCCCTTTTAGAGTTCTTATTCCATTGCTTCATGCAGGCTTGTGGGTAACCCAATTTGTCAGAGAAATGGAGCAACAGAACGATACTGCACAATTCAGAAATCCAACTCTCCATACTTCACACCAACAAATAGCTGCACTCCCGTGGTCTGCCGTTCAGACAGAATATTAAGTCCAAATTGCAAATGTGCATATCCATACACAGGAACCCTACATTTCTTTTCTTTTTCCTTTTCAAATTTAGAAAACTCAAGTTACTTCAGAACACTTGCGGGGTCTCTGATGTCAGCTTTTCTGTCCAATCAACTTCCCGTGGATTCAGTTTCTCTCAGTGATCCAACCATCGATGTATACTCTTACCTTCAGATCAGACTGCAAGTCTTTCCTTCTGGTCTAGATCATTTCAATAGAACAGGAATTTCTGCAGTTGGTTTCTTGCTCAACCGCCGCTCTTTCCAGTTCGAAGATTATGGACCTTACTTCTTTATTGACGACAGCTATTGTTGCTTCGCAGGTAAATGTGTCTTTCATATTAACTAGTAGAAGCTTTTTGGGTGCTTGTTGCAATGCGACACATCTTTTTCTATCCATACATAGGACTAGATCCTCTTAGAGGACCCAACTCAAAACCTATTGGTAATAAGTGGAGTTACCCTTAAGTATATAAACCAACCTTGGTGGTCTTAATTATTTGATGTAGGGTACAAGCTCTCACTTAGACTTCCACATGGAGTCAATAAACAAACAAATAAGTATGCATACCGGAAAATTCAAATGGTTAAGTGACTTGATCCATTAACCATTCAAAACTCAACTCTAATTCCATGTAGAGTACCCAACTAAAAACCAATAGACAATGAGTGGAGTAGCCTTTAAGTATATGAACAAACCTTTGAGGTCTTAATTATTGCAAGCTCTGTTAACACATCCATTGACCTATTTTTCACATTTACAGGAGCAAACAAATCATCTAATACAGGCATTATCGTTGGAGCAGTAGTTGGTAGTTTCGTTCTTTTGCTTTTAATACTTGGTGCAGGATATTATGGTTTCCATCAAAAGAGAAGAGCAAAACGAGCAGTTCAACAGAGCAACCCTTTTGGTAAGATCAATAGTTGGTGTAAATCAAAGTTCTTTTTAGCTAAATTATACGAGATACTCTAAAATCTATTTTCATACAACTGTAGCAAATTGGGACCCTGATAAAAACAGTGGCGATGTTCCACAACTTAAAGGAGCTAGATGGTTTTCATTTGAAGAGCTTCGGAAATGTACTAACAATTTTGCAGAAGTGAACGCTATTGGATCTGGGGGCTATGGGAAGGTTAGATATTTATAGTTTTCTTTCTCGTTTTTAATTGAATTTTGAAGTTAATTTTTTCAATCTCCATGTCATACTTCAGCTAGTACTTCACCACCAGTCCTTGTAGAAAACTGCAGGTTCAGACCCTAAACCTGTCCTTAGAGTCTCACACAATTGATTAATCTGCTCAACATCATATATAAGACAAGAAGACAGTACATATGTTAGATCTTGATGAATTGGTCTTATTTGGCAATTATCGAAATATCCTGAACTATTTAACTTCCTATATGGACGAGCCAAGGACTTCAGAAAATGGAATAGAGAAGTACAAGCAAAATAAGTTCACAAGAGCATATAACTGCATTATTGTTACTAAGAAAAAAGAGATATAACGTCTGGATCATCTGGTGCCTATGATTAGGAAGGAAGTCTAGACTTGTGTATTCATCCTATATGTGATCTTGTACTAGCTAATAGAAGAGAAATCACTTGATTTAGGTGCCTGGAAGAAGTTTGATGAATAATTCTAGCTCATCTGGCATCACATTTATTATTGAACTACAATACACCATTTTGCCCATTCACTTTATTATTTTGAAAACTACATGCAACAGACATGCACTCTTTTTCATTTCTGATAACAAAATGTGTTTGCTTCATCTCCTGGATAAAGATTATTTTGAATTTACTTCTCACATGAGAAAATTTTGAGGATTAACATGGGATTCTCGGCATTTTCCCGCTCTCAATATTAGTTGAGCTCCAAAATGTTCTACTTTCTAAATTTATAGTTTGTTGGCAGGTTTATAGAGGAACTCTTGCCTCTGATCAATTAGTTGCCATCAAAAGAGCTCAACAGGGATCATTGCAGGGTGCTCTTGAGTTTAAGACTGAGATTGAGCTTCTATCAAGGATTCATCATAAGAATGTTGTCAGCCTGGTAGGTTTCTGTTATGAGCAAGGGGAACAAATGCTGGTCTATGAGTATATTCCAAATGGTACCCTGAAAGATGGTCTTTTAGGTAATTTCCCTAATTTCTTATATTCCTTACAATATACGAAACCGTATCATCTGCCACCTTATATAGACAATGAAAAAATGCAAATAGCCATTCAACTTGCATCGACAATGAATGCAAGCACGTAATCAGATAGGAGCTATAAAAATGAGGCTTTGCCTGATACGGCCATGTGTCAAACTCAAGTCAACCAAGGAGGTTTAAAAACATCACTTCATCTCATAACAAGATTGGATTGCTTCTCCTGCCCTACCCCTTTTACACCTGAATCTCAATGATTTACGTTACCGAACCATGGGCCTCCAGTGTATTAATTATGACTAGTAAAAATATATTCTTGGTGCCATATCAAATTACATAATGGCTAGTGGGCAGGGGCCCAGTGTCGAAACTCCATCCTCTGTCAGCCCTAAGCCATTGGTATACTCGATCAAATTATACTGTAGCATTGTACAGCCCAACCCTAGCTGAGTAATCAATCATTAACATAAATTGTCTCTTTTTTATCATCTCAAGCACAATGAACTATGCAAGAAACAAAATGGAGAATTATTATTGAGAAGACACAAATGTAAATTCATTCTCTTTGATAATCTGAATATGATCTATGCAGGGAAGTCAGGAATTCAATTGGACTGGATGCGGAGGCTTAGAATAGCCCTTGATTCAGCTAAAGGTCTGGCCTATATGCATGAGCTTGCCAACCCTCCCATCATACACAGGGACATTAAGTCAACCAACATCCTACTAGATAATCTTCTAAATGCAAAAGTTGCCGATTTTGGCTTATCCAAACTTGTGGAAGATACCAGTAAGAGTTATGTCAGCACTCAAGTCAAAGGGACATTGGTAAGTATGAAATCCTTAAAACCTTTACTTTAGCATGGATGCCACTTCTTTGCTATGTAGCCATGTTTGGATGGATGTCTTTTTTTACTTGGGGGCGGGGGGGAGGAATGTGCAGGAGATGGAAAATAGTATAGCTTTGCCCGGAAAATCTTTTTGGATGCTTACCAATTATGGATTTTTTCTGAAAGATGGAAGATTATCATTGCCTCATTTTGCTTTCTAATCAAGGAGCTGATCTATGAAATGACTCCGGAGTTGTCCCACTATTTTTTGTAAGCAGTTGAATGTTACTAGAATTTTCAATTTCATTGTGGATCACTTCAATTATTTGTTTATAAGCATTAAAGTCGTACGATTCGCAATTCAATTTGTATGTTTCGATTCGATTTAGTTCCCATTGAATTCATATCTTACTATAGCATCGTTTTTTACTGGGAAAGGATCAAAATTTTGTTTTGATGCATTGTTTTGGTTACCTAGAAAATGGAAACATTTCGACATATTTTGGAAACTTTTCAACCCATTTCGATTTAATTTAATTATGATATCAAAACGACATCATTTTGCTAGAAAAGGCCCACCCCAAATTTAAAACAATGTCTCCTTCACTCTAAGTATGCTTCTTCTTCTTCAAAAACATTTACCAAATCCTATCACACCCCATTTCTTCTACTTCTTCTTCAATACATGCCCCGTTTTTTGGTTTTTCATTAAAAAAAAAAATTTTAATCGAATGTGGGAAGTGATTTTCTAAGTTTACATGCTCGAATCATTATGGACTTTTCTTATTTTAGTTAACTTCATTAGTATTAGGAAGATAAAAACTATTTGTTGGTTAAAAATCATGCATCTTTCATCGTAGCCATTTTGATGGAATGACTTATTATGCATTAAGAAAGAAGTAACAGAGGCACAAATTCAAGTGTAGTTTCCTATTCTTGTATCAGGTGAATACACTCAATTGTTCATTTTTAAATACAATAATGTTCAATATTTAATATCTTGTTTATTTTAAATAAATACATGTTATTTTTTTATCTTTGTTCGAATTTTGTGTCATATCTTACGATTTTCGATTTTCAAATCTAAGATTTCGATTCACGATATGAATCTAGATTCGATAACTTACTGGAATAATTTCTTGTACTTCTCAAGGGGGATGCCAAGTGTTTATTATAAGCATACTTCTGAGGATGATATTCACTGTAATTAAGATTTCTTACACTTGCTTGAAAAGTTGCCCAATATTTTAAATAAAATCTCTCCCTTGATAGTTGCCCTTGTTTAAAATACGTCTCCCATGTTCAATGCATACAAAACAAATTATTGCAGGAAGTGTGGGTATTTCTAGTGGAGGGTGATACAGGATATGGTCTGTAATTCTAGTCTTGCCCCAGGCCACATACTGCACACACATTTTTCTCTAACGCGGTACGCCATTGCTAGTATTGAATCGATGCTAGAAGCATGCAGGATTATGCAAAGGATATCAAAATTTTATAGGACTTAAAGTAGGTATTTAGCGTTTCTCATATTTATCTATGCTGTGTATGATTGGGTATTTTGGTTATTTTTTTTGGTGCTTCAATTTGGCTTTAGGTTGACACATGGAAAATCAATTCTTTTGTAACTGTAGGGATACATGGATCCTGAATATTACACGACCCAACAGCTGACTGAGAAGAGTGATGTTTATAGCTTTGGAATTGTATTGCTGGAGCTGGTAACCGCAAGGGCACCAATAGAGCGAGGGAAGTACATTGTGGGAGAGGTTAAGGATGCAATTGATAATTCAACTGATCAATATTACATTCATGACATTCTCGATTCATCCCTTGGTTCTAGTGCAAAACTTGGAGGCTTGACAAAGTTTGTGGAGTTGGCAATGAAATGCGTCAAAGACTATTCATTTGAGAGGCCAAAAATGGGTGAGGTGGTGAGAGAAATCGAGAACATTATGCAGTTAGCTAATTCGAATAAGAATTTTGAAACAGAGTTCACTTCATCGAGTTATGAGGGGATTTCTGAAGGGATTAAGGCTTTTGATTACAGCGGTGGCTTCTTACCTCTTGATTTGGAGGGCCACTAGTAAGATAAATGTTTGCATTTCAAATGTCCAAGTTGGTAGCAGCAGGTTGTTTCTATCCCTTCCTGCAGTGCCTTGGTTTGAACATTTAACTTCTTCAATCTTTTTCGATCTTTGAATCAGATTTCAGGCTGTAATCAATCTAGAAATTAGGATGTGCATATATTGATCATTAAGCATGTGCAACTAAATAAGTATATTATACAGGAGACATCATGACAATGTTAGGAATTTTTGTACTATTGATTCAAATACCTTAATGTGTTTCATTCTCTGCAAAAGCCATTGATCTTGAGTACTTTTCCCTTTGTGAAAAATTGCTCCATTTCCTAGTTCCTATTGCAGTTGAATATGATTTGTATGAGCTTTACAGGTTTAAAATTTGAACTAGTTCAAGTTGGCACCACAACTGCCCTCATTAGTTCACATAATGAAAACCTTTCCTTTGTTTTTGCACAAGAAAAGAGAGACTAATACCATTAAGCCTCACTGGTCTCTTAGTAGGAACTATTGAAGAGTGGGCCTTTGGACCCAAATCCTCCCGAATTCTATCACTATCTTTTAGGGGTTTTTTGAAGTCGGTATACTTAATTAGACTTATTTGGTAAAAAATACACACTAAAAAATATTTTGAAAAAAGATACACTAGTTAGATACAAAGACATAAATGCCCATTTTAAAAAAAGTGATGCATTAAATATCTTTTAATTTTATGAGAGAACTTTAATATTTAATGCACATTAATTCATGTGTATTTGAAAGTGTAATTCATGTATATATATATTTATACTTATACGTATATATATTTATATTTATACTTGTGTGTATATATATATATTTATATTTATATATGTATGTATTTATATACGTATATTGTATTTATATACAAATATGTATATACGTGTAAAGTATAACATTGAAAGTGTAAAGTGTAAATTATTATTTTATGTCTCACCTTATTTAATGAAAAGTGTAAAATGTTACATGTTAACATTGAAAGTGTAACACTTTTACACTTTCTCAATTATTTAACATTTTTAGTGTAAGGTGAGACATGTATATGCTTTTTGTATAACACTTGGGGTACTGTTTTCCTTTACCTTGTGTAAATAATTTGTTACATTTTTATTGTTATACTGTTATTGTTACTTTTAATATTACCCTATAACGTTTTACACTTTCCATTAAGAAAAGTGAGTTATAAGATAATTATTTACATTTTACACTTTTAATGTTACACTTTACACTTTTAAAAATGTTACACTTTACACTTTCAATATTACACTTTACACGTATATAAATATATTTTTATTTTTATTTTTATTTATATATATATGTATATGTATTTGTACTTGTATATATAAAAATACATATATATTTATATTTATACATATATACATACTTGTATACATATAATACGTATATATTTATTTGTTAATATATATATATTAATAAATGCACATGAATCAAAGTACATTAAATACTAAAGTTCTCCCATAAAACTAGGAGATATTTAATGCACCACTTTTCAAAGAACATACACATGGATCAATGGAGGACAAAATNAAGTATGTATATACGTGTAAAGTATAACATTGAAAGTGTAAAGTGTAAATTATTATTTTNGCTGGAGCTGGTAACCGCAAGGGCACCAATAGAGCGAGGGAAGTACATTGTGGGAGAGGTTAAGGATGCAATTGATAATTCAACTGATCAATATTACATTCATGACATTCTCGATTCATCCCTTGGTTCTAGTGCAAAACTTGGAGGCTTGAAAAAGTTTGTGGAGTTGGCAATGAAATGCGTCAAAGACTATTCATTTGAGAGGCCAAAAATGGGTGAGGTGGTGAGAGAAATCGAGAACATTATGCAGTTAGCTAATTCGAATAAGAATTTTGAAACAGAGTTCACTTCATCGAGTTATGAGGGGATTTCTGAAGGGATTAAGGCTTTTGATTACAGCGGTGGCTTCTTACCTCTTGATTTGGAGGGCCACTAGTAAGATAAATGTTTGCATTTCAAATGTCCAAGTTGGTAGCAGCAGGTTGTTTCTATCCCTTCCTGCAGTGCCTTGGTTTGAACATTTAACTTCTTCAATCTTTTTCGATCTTTGAATCAGATTTCAGGCTGTAATCAATCTAGAAATTAGGATGTGCATATATTGATCATTAAGCATGTGCAACTAAATAAGTATATTATACAGGAGACATCATGACAATGTTAGGAATTTTTGTACTATTGATTCAAATACCTTAATGTGTTTCATTCTCTGCAAAAGCCATTGATCTTGAGTACTTTTCCCTTTGTGAAAAATTGCTCCATTTCCTAGTTCCTATTGCAGTTGAATATGATTTGTATGAGCTTTACAGGTTTAAAATTTGAACTAGTTCAAGTTGGCACCACAACTGCCCTCATTAGTTCACATAATGAAAACCTTTCCTTTGTTTTTGCACAAGAAAAGAGAGACTAATACCATTAAGCCTCACTGGTCTCTTAGTAGGAACTATTGAAGAGTGGGCCTTTGGACCCAAATCCTCCCGAATTCTATCACTATCTTTTAGGGGTTTTTTGAAGTCGGTATACTTAATTAGACTTATTTGGTAAAAAATACACACTAAAAAATATTTTGAAAAAAGATACACTAGTTAGATACAAAGACATAAATGCCCATTTTAAAAAAAGTGATGCATTAAATATCTTTTAATTTTATGAGAGAACTTTAATATTTAATGCACATTAATTCATGTGTATTTGAAAGTGTAATTCATGTATATATATATTTATACTTATACGTATATATATTTATATTTATACTTGTGTGTATATATATATATTTATATTTATATATGTATGTATTTATATACGTATATTGTATTTATATACAAGTATGTATATACGTGTAAAGTATAACATTGAAAGTGTAAAGTGTAAATTATTATTTTATGTCTCACCTTATTTAATGAAAAGTGTAAAATGTTACATGTTAACATTGAAAGTGTAACACTTTTACACTTTCTCAATTATTTAACATTTTTAGTGTAAGGTGAGACATGTATATGCTTTTTGTATAACACTTGGGGTACTGTCTTCCTTTACCTTGTGTAAATAATTTGTTACATTTTTATTGTTATACTGTTATTGTTACTTTTAATATTACCCTATAACGTTTTACACTTTCCGTTAAGAAAGGTGAGATATAAGATAATTATTTACATTTTACACTTTTAATGTTACACTTTACACTTTTAAAAATGTTACACTTTACACTTTCAATGTTACACTTTACACGTATATAAATATATTTTTATTTTTATTTTTATTTATATATATATGTATATGTATTTGTACTTGTATATATAAAAATACATATATATTTATATTTATACATATATACATACTTGTATACATATAATACGTATATATTTATTTGTTAATATATATATATTAATAAATGCACATGAATCAAAGTACATTAAATACTAAAGTTCTCCCATAAAACTAGGAGATATTTAATGCACCACTTTTCAAAGAACATACACATGGATCAATGGAGGACAAAATATCACAAAAAAATCAGGCAAATTCAAATTGTGTACTTAGATACAAATAAATATCAAAATGAAAGACTCAATAACCCTAAATTTTTTAGTGTGTACTTTTTGCCAAATAAATCTAATTTGGTATACCTTCTTACTATCTTTTAAGGGTAAATTGTAAGGGATACACCAAATTAAATTTATTTGGCAAAAAGTNAACATTTTTAGTGTAAGGTGAGACATGTATATGCTTTTTGTATAACACTTGGGGTACTGTCTTCCTTTACCTTGTGTAAATAATTTGTTACATTTTTATTGTTATACTGTTATTGTTNAAATGCGTCAAAGACTATTCATTTGAGAGGCCAAAAATGGGTGAGGTGGTGAGAGAAATCGAGAACATTATGCAGTTAGCTAATTCGAATAAGAATTTTGAAACAGAGTTCACTTCATCGAGTTATGAGGGGATTTCTGAAGGGATTAAGGCTTTTGATTACAGCGGTGGCTTCTTACCTCTTGATTTGGAGGGCCACTAGTAAGATAAATGTTTGCATTTCAAATGTCCAAGTTGGTAGCAGCAGGTTGTTTCTATCCCTTCCTGCAGTGCCTTGGTTTGAACATTTAACTTCTTCAATCTTTTTCGATCTTTGAATCAGATTTCAGGCTGTAATCAATCTAGAAATTAGGATGTGCATATATTGATCATTAAGCATGTGCAACTAAATAAGTATATTATACAGGAGACATCATGACAATGTTAGGAATTTTTGTACTATTGATTCAAATACCTTAATGTGTTTCATTCTCTGCAAAAGCCATTGATCTTGAGTACTTTTCCCTTTGTGAAAAATTGCTCCATTTCCTAGTTCCTATTGCAGTTGAATATGATTTGTATGAGCTTTACAGGTTTAAAATTTGAACTAGTTCAAGTTGGCACCACAACTGCCCTCATTAGTTCACATAATGAAAACCTTTCCTTTGTTTTTGCACAAGAAAAGAGAGACTAATACCATTAAGCCTCACTGGTCTCTTAGTAGGAACTATTGAAGAGTGGGCCTTTGGACCCAAATCCTCCCGAATTCTATCACTATCTTTTAGGGGTTTTTTGAAGTCGGTATACTTAATTAGACTTATTTGGTAAAAAATACACACTAAAAAATATTTTGAAAAAAGATACACTAGTTAGATACAAAGACATAAATGCCCATTTTAAAAAAAGTGATGCATTAAATATCTTTTAATTTTATGAGAGAACTTTAATATTTAATGCACATTAATTCATGTGTATTTGAAAGTGTAATTCATGTATATATATATTTATACTTATACGTATATATATTTATATTTATACTTGTGTGTATATATATATATTTATATTTATATATGTATGTATTTATATACGTATATTGTATTTATATACAAGTATGTATATACGTGTAAAGTATAACATTGAAAGTGTAAAGTGTAAATTATTATTTTATGTCTCACCTTATTTAATGAAAAGTGTAAAATGTTACATGTTAACATTGAAAGTGTAACACTTTTACACTTTCTCAATTATTTAACATTTTTAGTGTAAGGTGAGACATGTATATGCTTTTTGTATAACACTTGGGGTACTGTCTTCCTTTACCTTGTGTAAATAATTTGTTACATTTTTATTGTTATACTGTTATTGTTACTTTTAATATTACCCTATAACGTTTTACACTTTCCGTTAAGAAAGGTGAGATATAAGATAATTATTTACATTTTACACTTTTAATGTTACACTTTACACTTTTAAAAATGTTACACTTTACACTTTCAATGTTACACTTTACACGTATATAAATATATTTTTATTTTTATTTTTATTTATATATATATGTATATGTATTTGTACTTGTATATATAAAAATACATATATATTTATATTTATACATATATACATACTTGTATACATATAATACGTATATATTTATTTGTTAATATATATATATTAATAAATGCACATGAATCAAAGTACATTAAATACTAAAGTTCTCCCATAAAACTAGGAGATATTTAATGCACCACTTTTCAAAGAACATACACATGGATCAATGGAGGACAAAATATCACAAAAAAATCAGGCAAATTCAAATTGTGTACTTAGATACAAATAAATATCAAAATGAAAGACTCAATAACCCTAAATTTTTTAGTGTGTACTTTTTGCCAAATAAATCTAATTTGGTATACCTTCTTACTATCTTTTAAGGGTAAATTGTAAGGGATACACCAAATTAAATTTATTTGGCAAAAAGTACACACTAAAAAATGTAGGGTTATTAAATCATTCATTTTGATACTTATTTGTATATAAGTACACAATTTGAATTTGCCTAATTTTTTTGTGATATTTTTGTCCTCCATTGATCCATGTGTATGTTCTTTGGAAAGTGNCGTTAAGAAAGGTGAGATATAAGATAATTATTTACATTTTACACTTTTAATGTTACACTTTACACTTTTAAAAATGTTACACTTTACACTTTCAATGTTACACTTTACACGTATATAAATATATTTTTATTTTTATTTTTATTTATATATATATGTATATGTATTTGTACTTGTATATATAAAAATACATATATATTTATATTTATACATATATACATACTTGTATACATATAATACGTATATATTTATTTGTTAATATATATATATATATATATATATATATATATATATATATGACGTATATATTTATTTGTTAATATATATATATTAATAAATGCACATGAATCAAAGTACATTAAATACTAAAGTTCTCTCATAAAACTAGGAGATATTTAATGCACCACTTTTCAAAGAACATACACATGGATCAATGGAGGACAAAATATCACAAAAAAATCAGGCAAATTCAAATTGTGTACTTAGATACAAATAAATATCAAAATGAAAGACTTAATAACCCTAAATTTTTTAGTGTGTACTTTTTGCCAAATAAATCTAATTTGGAATACCTTCTTACTATCTTTTAAGGGTAAATTGTAAGGGATACACCAAATTAAATTTATTTGGCAAAAAGTACACACTAAAAAATGTAGGGTTATTAAATCATTCATTTTGATACTTATTTGTATATAAGTACACAATTTGAATTTGCCTAATTTTTTTGTGATATTTTTGTCCTCCATTGATCCATGTGTATGTTCTTTGGAAAGTGGTACATTAAATGTCTCCTAATTTTATGGGAGAACTTAAGTATTTAATTCACCTTGATTCTGTTAATATATATATATATATATATATATATATATATATATATATACACGTGTAAAGTGAAACATTTTTGAAAATATAAAGTGTAAAGTATTATCTTATGTCTCACCTTTTTTAATGGAAAGTGTAAAGTGTTATAGAGTAATATTAAAAGTAACAATAACAGTGTAGGAATAACAATGTAACAAGCTATTTACACAAGGTAAGG